CAGAGCATTTTCATAAATTTAAATTTCATTTACAAATAACATCTTCGCTAAGAAAAAAAGAAACAGATCGACGTATTTCGAAGAGGTCTTTCAACTTGACACAGGTTACGGTACGTTTATTTGTAATTTTCAACGAATATACACTGTGCTTAGTGCGAGTTTTTTAACGTTCTCGATAGCGTAAAAGTTAACTCATATTTGTATGGAATGGGATCGTTTGCGTACTGTTATAGCTTCCCGTTGCACTCCTTCTTGCTAACTATGCACTCTGTCCCGCTAACTCAACACTCTTCATAATACACCTATATCGGGCTCACGTCAGTGAGTCGGTCTCCTTCATCTCCTCATCCAAGACAGTCGTCCAAAATCATATAAAGTATTTTTAAAAAAAAGCTAAATATCCTGTGGCTCATAACAGTACGTTTGCCGCTAGGGGCGCTGTTCCAACTGCATACAAAACTGGGTTAACTTTTACGCTATCGAAAACGTTAAGAAACTCTCACTAAGGACACAGATGTATATTTTTGTAGCGAAAACTCCTTTAGTGCTGTTGTGATTTGAAACTCCATGAAACGGGAATGACGCTCGGAAAGCGAAGCTGAAAAGAGAGTAATGTATACACATACATCTGCAGGGTTTAGCCGGCGAGAGAATGAGATTCACTAAGTGCCTCGTGTGCACTGAATCTAAGATTTCTAGTTGAAAAAACCTTTTTTTTATTGCTTATATGGGAGGACGAGCTCACAGCCCACCTGGTGTTAAGTGGTTACTGGAGCCCATAGACATCTACAACGTAGATGCGCCACCCACCTTGAGATATAAGTTTTAAAGTCTCAAGTATAGTTACAACGGCTGCCCCGCCCTTCAAACCGAAACGCATTAGTGCTTCACGGCAGAAATAGGCAGGGTGGCGGTACCTACCCGTGCGGAATCAAAAGAGGTCCTACCACCAGTAAAAGCAGGTATTTTCGTTGAGCGACCTGTTGAAATACGAATTAATAATGTAACTGTGAGTAAATTGGCTAATTTTCTCCATTCAATGACCTCAAGCAAAAAAAACATTTTGTTGTGTATTGTGTGTGCGTTCCGGAAATACAAACTGAACTCGTTTTTAAGCTATTGCATAGCTTTTATTATGGGCCTTGAGACCCGACCGGCGACGACCGAATCATGAAATTCCGTAACGAAAAAAACCTTACACCCCTCACTCCGCCTACCATGTAGCTCGCGTTCAACACATTGCGCTTGTGTAGTGTTTGTGAATAAGCGCGTGGCGTGACGTCACACTGCATGCGCATCATGAAAAGTCTGCCCATCTCTCTCTCGCACGGTCTAGCTTATGAGTGTGAAGGTGACAGTTAAGGTTTTGCTTTTATTAATGTTTAATATAGCGTGGTCTTCTTTTATAATTGTTTTAATATTAAATTATCATTGTCTATTTATAATTGCATAAGTTGATAAAAAATGCTATGCAATAGCTTTACCGCGGCAGTTCCCGAGTGCCACACGTTTTTTTTAACAAAGATCACAGACTCCGTTTTCTTATTGAATTTGGAGCCCGGGTCATTTTAGTCAACATTATAATTTAAAAATACTTTTACTGTTTTACGGACTGATTCGGTAGAGGAGTAGTTAGCGCCGCTGAGGGCTGCGCCAAGGGTCGTGGGTTTGATTCCCACGTCGGGCATACATTCATGTAATGAACAAGTTTCTTTGCTTTTTGTCTGGGTGCTTATTATCTATATACTATGTATATATTTAAACGTATATAAGTATTAATGTCTGTCTTTGGTACCCATATGACACAGGGTATCCTAATTTGGGATCGGATGACCCTGCGCGATTTATTTCCAGCTATTTATTTATTTTATTTGTTCATTTTATGGTCATCCTGTCAAACTTTGCCGCGAAGTAATCACGCGTTTCGGTTGCAGGATATGGTATTGATGGTCTTCGTGCGGTGGGTGGGACTATTCATATTAGAACATCCCATTGGCTTGGGTAATTAGTAGGCCGCAATACAGTTCGTGGATAGCATAAAAAAAAATCAGATAGTTTAGTTTGACGTAATCACGCGACTTCGAAACCTCTTGTGAGTCCGCGCGGGTAGGTACCACCGCCCTGCGTATTTCTGCCGTGAAGCAGTAATGCGTTTCGGTTTGAAAGGTAGAGCAGCCGTTGTAACTATCTTAGAACTTATATCTTAAAGTGGGTGGCGCATTTACGTTGTAGACGTCTATGGGCTCCAGTGACCACTTAACACCAGGTGGGCTGTGAGCTCGTCCACCCATTGGAGCAATTAAATAAAAAGAATACAGCACTTACATATAAGACCACGGATGCAAGTGTATTTCGATTGAATTATTATCGCAAGGCTGATGTATTATAAAAAGCGATCGAATAATATCCGCATTTACGCGGATTCCACAATATAATACTTAAGTTCAACGACACTGAATTTTGTTGGAATGGAAACAATTATGCCATTATTAAAATTTGAGTTCGATGAACTTAGCAAACGTAAATCCACAATTCCGGCCTTGTAGAGGTCGCTTGCCTATTAAACACAATATATAGATTGTATGTACGTATATATATGTATTAAGCTAACTTTTGTTCGTCCGTATTTCACGGGCTGCCGCACGATCTGATTGCGATTAATCTTTGTCAACTTATTGCTTGTTCTCGCCCGAATATTGTAGACATAGTACAATGAATAAATACACTGAGCTTGGCGCGCAGATAATTTCAACGAATCGCTATCCTTACCATCAGTTGTATTCGTACAATAATTAATACACTACACTAACCATTTTTTTTTATTGCTTAACACACTCTACGGCGCAGCGGAGTCAACGCAGCATCAATCGCGTTTGAGTGGCAACCGCTTGGCAGGAGAAGACCTGGTCGCCCTGTACACACTTGGCGACGCATCGTAGAGAGTGAGATGAGGACTGCCAACGTGACCTGGAGTGATGTCAAGGAGCAAGCGCAAGACAGAGTAAAGTGGAGACAACTTGTGAGGGCCCTATGTACCAGCGGGGTACCCTAGGACTACAACACACACACTAACAATTTTTTACAATCGTTTTTCAATACACTAACCATTGCAAATTTAGTGTATTTTAGAAGCGTCTGCTTAAGTTTTCTGGAGCTTCGCAGTGCCTAAAATTGCTGATGTTCGTGAGAGACGATGATGACTTACCTTCAATGGAGCTGTATGTTCGTGAACATACAGTCATACATTTTGAAGTCGTCGTGGCCTAAAAGATAAGACGTCCGGTGCATTCGTGTTGAAGCGATGAACCGCTGTTCGAATCCCGCAGGCGGGTACCAATTTTTCTAATGAAATACGTACTCAACAAATGTTCACGATTGACTTCCACGGTGAAGGAATAACATCGTGTAATAAAAGTGAAACCCGCAAAATTATAATTTGCGTAATTACTGGTGGTAGGACCTCTCGTGAGTCCGCGCAGGTAGGTACCACCACCCTGATTATTTCTGCCGTGAAGCAGTAATGTGTGCGTGAAGTAAAGCGTTTCGGTTTGAAGGGTGGGGCAGCCTTTGTAACTATACTGAGACCTTACAACTTATATCTCAAGGTGGGTGGCGCATTTACGTTGTAGATGCCTATGGGCTTCAGTAATCTATGCAATAAAAAAAAGAACATGTATGGATACATATACGAAGCTAATGGTTTTTCTATGACGTCTCCTTAGGAGTTAAGTGCATTTCCGTCTGCGGCGTTCGAATCCCTCTCGGCTAAGGCACTCTTTGTTTAATGTTACCTCAAGGACTTTAAAGATTCAACGTATATATGAGTCGTCTATTATCAAAGGTGGCAATCTGTGCATTTGGACAAAAAAATGTTATTGATATGTCAATACAGATTGATTTGAATATAATCGTCTCCTTCAAAGAATACGCTTCAAAACCTGCATTAAATAAAGTATTAACTTAACCTGTTATTTATCTAAGATGTCGTTCAGAAGAGTTTTGTGACTGCCAATGGAATACAAAGTCAATAATTCGTTTTTCTGATTTACCAATAATTGTCCGAAAGTCACATTGCCGGCTTTGATAATAGTCGATTCATATTATGTATACGTGCTTGATAGAGGCATTGGTCGTGAAAAGATAATGGTGAGCGTTCATTGACCTTTTTTAACAAATTACTTATGTGTAACTATATGAATTATTAATTAAAAAAAATACTAAACTATATAGTTTCATATTTAAATGTTTTATTATTATTAAATCTTTATTTCAGTAGAGAAATCGTACATTTTGCAAGTGAGTATTATGTACTAATAATGTATGTGTATGTTAGTATCTGACAATTGATTCTTTCCCAAATGCCTGCTGCAAAGGCTATTAATTAAAGATATTCTCAATCTTACAGATAAATGTCTCGATATAAACATTCTATTTTCATTGCAAGATGAATAATGAACTGAATTACATTATGCGGAATAATATGAAAGTAGTGCAGAATCTATTAACAATAAAACAAACAATTTTAGTACTCAACAAGGCGCCTGTGCATAAGCGTACTTACATAAGACTTGGAACTAGTATAACTTGTTCTTAAGTTATGTCTAAGCACGCCGACCGCAGCCGTTAAAAGGGAATCTTGTATAAGTGAGAGTAATCTGTTTGCCTTGCGGTCATTAAGTTTGAAATTGTGATTAATCTTTATATGCCACTTATGAAGAAAAATGTGTGACTCGCTTCAGAAGTACATATCGTCGTTGTCAAACCAAAATCAAATCTGCTATGTGCACTTTTTGAGATTTTTACTATTTGATCTTTTCGTATAGTTCACAGCCCTATCTTACTACCGTATAAAAAAAACTGTTATGTGTCTATAGCTTTAATATTTATCTATAGCTTTCATTTGATATTATAGTTCTTAAAAAATCACTTTCATATAAAATTTTATACGAAATTGGTTTTACTCGTTAATTCAAAATAGAGTTTTTGCGCATAGCAGATTTTGGCTTGACAGCGACGATATACTAAAGTTGGGAAGTTACAGAGAAGATTAGCGTGACCCGTGCGCAAAAATGACAGGCAAAGCCGTGGAGTGTTCCATGTTTTTGCCCACCAGCAATTCATTGGCCCTACCCTACTGAGTAGCAAGGTTATGCCCAGGCAGAGGGGTACGCCCTAATGCCCGTACCATACCGGAAATTTTTGCCCACCAGCAATTCATTGGCCCTACCCTACTGGATAGGAAGGTCATGCCCAGGCAGAGGGGTACGCCCCAATGCCCGTACCATACCGGAGTAAGATTGAACAAAACCCGTCTATTACGTGTGACTTTGTTTTATTGCTGCTAAGAAAGATCGCAGTGAAAACTGCGTCGAAAAATTATGGCTTCAAAGCACTAAAATATATATATATTGAGTCAATTTTGGTTGCACAATATAGAGAAATAAATATCTAACAAATAAATGGATTAAATTGAAATTATTAAAATTTAATTTGGATATAAAAGAATTATATTAAAAGACTAAGTTTAAAATCTGGGCCGACTCTGTTTTAAAAATGGGAAGCGTGCGTGGGGAAGTCGGTCTGTAGATTTTGTTTGATTTTGTACATAGTTTAAGGCGCTAGAGCTCCACTACGTTTTTTTTTGTTGCTTAGATGGATCGACGAGCTCACAGCCCACCTGGTGTTAAGTGGTTACTGGAGCCCATAGACATCTACAACGTAAAATGCGCCACCCACCTTGAGATATAAGTTCTAAGATCTCAGGTATAGTTACAACGGCTACCGCACCCTTCGAACCGAAACGCATTACTGCTTCACGGCGGAAATAGGCGGGGTGGTGGTGCCTACCCGTGCGGACTCACAAGAGGTCCTACCACCAGTGAAATTTCAGGCTATTTCAGTATTACAAACAGACACTCCAATTTTATTTTAATGTATAGATATATGTATAGATGTATAGATTACATTTAAATACACAGAAACGTGTTCGTTAAGTGAAATGAGATAAGCAATTCGGTAGAATGAGCGCGTTAAAACCGCACGCTAGTGTGCTCAGAGAGCTGAGACGGTATAGCGTTACCAGACATAGTTATGTTTACCTGAAATTCATACCGTGAATCTTCTCCGGCGGTTTCCTTTTAGTTTATTTTATTGTTATGTTTATTGTAGCCTTTATAATTAAAATCACTCTTTTTATTTACACCTTTTTTAAATAAATTAATAAGTTTTATACTCATTAATGTTTCGATCGTAAAGTGGGAGGTATTTTACTGGTGGTAGGACCTTGTCCGCGCCAGTACTTCACGTACAAGCGGGGACTACGAGGTCTGCGGGGGGTCCAACCACCACCACGGCATCGACGACTCGAGCGGCACACACAGCGAAACAGAACACTACTGGAACGATATAGAATCGCACGCGCGACTCGCGGCTTATAATTTAATTATACTTTATATACAGTCCACCTTACAATAAAACCTCAAGAACAAAAACCTTTATTTTACTGAGCTATCGAACATAATGGTCCTTCGAGTCGGATCTGAACCAGCGACCTATGGATTGGTTTGTGAATCCGCGCGGGCAGGTACCACCGCCCTGCCTATTTCAGCCGTGAAGCAGTAATGCGTTTCGGTTTGAAGGGTGGGGCAGCCGTTGTAACTATACCTTAGAACTATGTATATGTCAAGGTGGGTGACGCATTTACGTTGTCTATGAACTCCAGTAACCGCTTAACACCAGGGGGACTGTGAGCTCGTCCACTTCGTCGTTTTATTTACCCTTTTTTTTTAAACTAAATTAATAAGTTTTATACCCATTAATGTTTTGATCGTAACGTGGGAGGTATTTAGAGATTTTCCTTTGAGATTAATCTGAAAAGTACCTATAGGTTTTATTATTTGTAAATGTAATAGTTAATGTTGATTTTGTAGGGATGTCGATTTCTGTATCACACCTCGGCTCGACTATCCTTATCCTCATATCATGTTGGGATTTGGCATGAACTTTAGCACCGTCCGCTTGTGTGATGTCAACCCTCATTGGGTTAATTGATTAATTAATCCCTCCTAAATCGTGTCACAGGAAGGAACTTTTCCGTTTCTTCTTTTGATTTCTCTTTTACTATATATACGTTTTTGGTTTTATGATTTGCATTTTATTCTTTATGAACATCACTACATAGTATAAAACAAAGTCGCTTTCTCTGTCCCTATATCCCTATGTATGCCCTATATAATCTTTAAAACTACGCAACGGATTTTGAGGCGGTTTTTTTTAATAGATAGAGTGATTGAAGAGTAAGGTTTATATGTATAATAACATCCATTAAATAGTGGAAAAATCAATAATAAATTACAGTTTCCGAAGCGAAGCGAGGGCGGGTCGCTAGTTAACAATAAGGCTTAGATGTTCAAATAAAAAAAAAAAATTGTATTCCACCACACATTCAATTCTTTTTTCTGTATTTACATAATAATGTCCGTGACTAGCATATGTTAAGTGAATTATTCGAATCATTAGAAATTGCAAATAAAAATAAGTTAAAGGGTGAAACCGCAAAATGGTTCAACTAGACCAGTGATTATCAAACTTATTTCTTTTACCGCCCCCTTTGAAAATCAATTATTTTTCAGCGCCCATCATTTTTTATACACCCCTAAAAGTTAAAAACCACAATTTCACAAATAATACATCGCCCCCTAACCCACATCAACATCACTCATTTTTTCTGGGCCCCTTAACGCCCCCCCTCTAGGTTTCGAACGCCACCTAGGGGGCGCTATCGCCCACTTTGAGAAAGACTGAACTAGACCGAATACCGAAGAAAATAATTTACTACTGCTTTACTAATACTTTACTACCCGCGAATACCGAAAAAAATACTTTAGTAGTAATTAATGTAGATCGATTTACTTTTGTTGAATTCAACTTAGTGTGGTGTATTATAAAAAATATTTCAAGCTCATATGTGTTATTCAAACATTTTTATTTGATTCTAATCATTTAGAAAAACTCTCACTTACGGACAGCAAATGATTGTTGTTCGATGTTGATTCTTACCTGAAAATAAATAAAACAGAAAAATTAGTAATATAATTTTTATGGGTTCATATTTAGCTCGGTGTTGGGGAGTTACTTCTTGCTGGCCATGATCGATCCTGCCATTGCTTTAGGCATAAAGTTCTCACGTCATTGATTCCATCCCGCAAATGGACGCTTACTATAATCTACTATCCTTTAATTAAATAAATATGAAGTAATATCAGTCGTAGTGTAAAATTTTGCACTATAAAAATAACTATCAATGATCAAGTCTAATGCGATCCATTCCCGATCCTGCGGACAGAATGGAAAGCAGTTGACGTCGCCCAAAACACGTCATTTCGGATTGTTCCGATCCACTAACGGTGCTTTTAGGTATATAGCACCGGTCATCGTTCTCGTCGAACCCGTTGCTTGCGACGAAGGGCTCGACGAGTAAATTAACCCACAGACACAGCCCACTGACTTTCTCGCCGGATCTTCTCAGAGACTCGCGTTTCCGATCCGGTGGTAGATTCTGCAAAGCATTCTCTATGTCTAGTCTATGTCTAGTCTTTGTAGTTCGTATATCATGTCAAAGTGATTACACGCCACGACAGGATGGGTGGCTCCGGAAACCAATTACCTATTTTCTTCCTCATCGTTCCCTCATTGCTGAGGATCGCGACCACATGTGACTTTCCTCCATAGTGTTCGTTCAAATTTACTGATGGTAGGACCTCTTGTGAGCCCGCATGGGTAGGTACCACCACCCTGCCTATTACTGCCGTGAAGCAGTAATGCGTTTCGGTTTGAATGGTGGGGCAGCCGTTGTAACTATACTGAGAACTCATATCTCAAGGTGGGTGGCGGCATTTACGTTGTAGATCTTTATAAGCTCCAGTGACCACATCAGGTGGGCCGTGAACTCGTCCACCTATCTAAGCAATGAAAAAAAATATTAAAATCATGGGTGGCATGGTACAAATTGCTAGCAATCGCTTTCTTAACCAGATCTGACCATCGGGTTGGTATTCTGCCAATAATTTCGTGTTCGTGATATAGGGCTGTATTTTTTTACTATTAAAACCACAAAATTTGACTAAGATATTCGTTTTACCGAGAGGGCTGGTGGTCGTGGCGCCGACGACCGCCAGTCCGGCGTCCCGAGGGGGAGGGTGATGGGAGAGATGTGCTCCGCACTAAACGCTTCACTTTCCCCCCTTTGCCTTTTCATGAGTTCTCTTTCATGCGAGGTTTGGATGCTGGTTGTTGAGCGACAGGAGGTTTTAGTCGGTTCAACTCCTCCATCCCCAGTGGAGGGCGGAAGTCCGGTGATTTCCTCTTGACAAAAAAAAAAAGATATTCGTTTCACATTAAGTGATCCAGTGAGCATCGATAATTGCGATGAATGAAACGTTTTTCGTTTGACCGACGGAGGTGCCGACCGAGCGACGCATTAACAATTGCGATTGTTAAATAAACGTTTTCGAAACAACAGATTAATTATGTTATTGTAAACGGCGCGGGGCGATTGCTTCGACCGGAAAACGAATTTTCACGTGAATCGTATTCCCGGAAAATACATTACCGGCTTTTTATTTTTATGTGTGCGCGGATGATAAATGATTTTGTGCATTCGTGTTTCACTGAGATCGTAATGTTTGCTTACGTCATTTTTGGTGACAGATTACCAGAATTACTGGTGGTAGGACCACCCTGCCTATTTTCGCCGCGAAGCAGTAATGCGTTTCGGCTTGGGTGGGCCAGCCGTTGTAACTATATTTGAGACCTTAGAACTTTATCTCGTGGGTGGCGCATTTACGTTGTACGCATTTACGTCTTAAAGACGTGGTGCTCCAGGGGATGGAATTGTTTATTCCCTCCTCTGAAGTGCCCGTTGGGGGTCGCAGCAGACCCTGGTATAACAATGCCAGCAGGGATGCTGCACACCTCAAGCGGTCCGCATACGTGGCATGGGATAATGCCAGGAGACGTCAGGACCCTAACATCTCAGAGGAAAGGCGGAAATATAACGCCGCTTCCAGGTCCTACAAGAAGGTTATTGCCAAGGCGAAGTCGGAG